CAACTTAGACATTGGCTACCTAAAATGAGGGGGCAATAAAGGTACAAAGTGACTGGCTTACAAGGTTTCAAGAGGGAGTTTAGTTTAAGAGTATGGGGCAGGGGGAAGAGTCCCCACTGAATAGTATTCATCTTGTCTAGATGGGTCTGGTAAAAAGAGATGAAGATAAGATTCTTATGATTCAATAGTGAATAATCGTTATCATGACAAACTGGGACTGTTACAATTGTAAAGGTAGAAGTTTTGTAACAGAAACAGGGAAGTGGTTAATCTTACAGTCCAGAAACAGAGGACCATCAAGGGAGACCGAATGAGGGACCTTACCCAGAGAAGCAGTGATGCCAGATATGGAGGTGGAGATGGGGTCATGGAGAGAGGGAGTGGCTGAGTACTCTAGATTCATGGGAAGAGAGGGACTAAGAGATTGTGGCCAGTAGGCAGACTTGCAGAATGTGCCTTTTGGAGGTATAAATTATTATATATGCCTGAGTGTTGTTTTTTTTGGTTTTTTTTTTTTAAAAAAAGCTAAAGTGAAGAGAGAGAAATAGTGTTAACTGATGGTACATGGATTATAAACATTGTAATGAAACAAGGTGTATGATTTGTTGAATGTAAAACTGATGCTCTGCCCTGTAAACTTTCATTCTCGATCCACAATAAAAACTTAAAAAAAAAAAACAAAAAAAAAACCAATTCTGTCCTCTGTGACAATACAGAGTTAGTCTAGCTAACAGTTTGCTCCTACAAAGATTTACAGACTTAGAAACCTTATACAGGGTCGCTGTGAATCAGAACTGACTCGATGGCACTCAACAATAGCAACTTAAAACTTAAGATTTGACCTCAAAGAAACAATTTTATATGGTTCGTAATGATAAAAAGAACCAGGAAAGCTTATAGGATGATTTGTAGTTGTCCCTAGTCGAGTTCCAATGAACTACACTTATGGCCATCTGTTTAGCAATTTTGTTCATATGCACTGGACTAACAACCACAAGGATTTCTGACATGGCACTGTAGGATCAGCATTGGACTGTAAATCATAAAGTCAGCAGTTCAAACCCACCAACTGCTCCTCAGAAACTCTATACAGGGGTCACTATGAGTGGGAACCAACTCGGTGCATTTAACAATGACAAGAGCCACCAGCCGCGTGGGAGAAAAATGAGTCTTTCCTTTTCTGCAAATAACTGTGGCATAGTGTTCGTGTTCAGCCTTTCAAATATTTGAAGCTAATGATCAACCTACCACTTACCATTTCTCTTTTTCTTGATTAAGGTACTAAAATATTAAAAAGTGCTTGGAAATAATCCATACAAATCCTAGTCAGTTCTATCCAGTTCAGCAAAGGTTTCTCAAGTCCCCGGTGTTGCACTAGGTGTTGGGAGTAGTAAAAGACATGAGCTGTTACCCTTGTCCTAGGGGAACTTACATTATCGCAGGGGAGAGAAGGATACACAGAGATAACTTCAACCTAATAACACCAAGTGCTAAAACAGAGCCATGCCAACCAAAGAGGATGCATCAAAAAGTTCAGAGAAAAATGAAATGCAAAGATAATGGAATTTTCCCTCATACAGGATTACAGCACAAGAAAGGGACCAAGTGAAAACACAAAAGAATGTAACGGTGGGCACCGTGCCAGTGTCACAAATTTGGGCCCAAATCCTGGATTGAAATTCTACCTAAAGTGCTACACAATGGCTCAACCTAATTTAAGCAGACTGTATGGTTCTCACTACTCCAATGGACAGGATAATGAGGAATTGGAAATACCAAAATATACACTCATGTTCCAATACACTACCAGTGCACAACTATGCAGTACATATTTGCTAGAATAAATTATTCTGAAGCATATTTTAAAGTCAAGGATCCCATGTACGAAGACTCGTAGAGTCAGAAAGAGATTCGTTGTCCTGACTTTAGGTGTGTGGTGTGAAAAACTTTATTTCTAGTATGTGGTGTGTTAGAAGGAAATTATTTGGTATTGTATCCGTGAAACCATTCCTGTCATTTAATAACATCTTTTTTTTTCCCCCTAGGAAAATTCAAAGAATTAAAACACAAGAGATTAAGAATTCCAAAACAATGGCAAACACCATTCTTTGAGGGAGTGTTAATTTTTTCCTTGACCAACAAACCCAATAGAGAAGCTGGAATTTGGTTAATAGTATTTAACATGTAATACCTCAGATCTCTTGAGTATCAGAGTTAAACTTAATCAAAACTGTCATCTTTAAATTATTTTGAACTCTCACACAGTAGGTTAAAATTTCCTCCCACCAATCTTACATAAGATCCAAGGTACATGTCAACCTTCTCTGTATTTATTTTCTTTTAACCTAACAACACTGACTTAACTCTCCAGCCAACGAAAAAAGAAAATGAAGACATCATTTAGCACTATTTAACTCTCTACAGCATATATAAACATGATTCTTCAATTTTTAGAATTAAATTGAGTATTTAGTAAGTTGTTGTTGTTGTTAAGTGCCACCAAATCGGTTCCAACTCACAGTGACCCTGCAGAGGGTTTCCCAGGAGCAGCTGGGGAGTTTGAACTGCTGACCTTGTGGGTCACAGCCCAGTGCTGATCCTATAATGCCATTCCAGGAGTAAGTAAGTCTCCATAATTAACACAGTTTTTATTTTTACATGGTTCTCAATATTAGGAAAAGTTCTAGGACCAGTTTTTAATGGGAACAATATAAAATGAGAAGGCTTCTCATTTATCTTAGATTTGCTTATTTTTAAAATCACGTGATCATTACTCACTTTTTGGTTATATGAGGATACTAGTTGTCCATGCCTGACTGCTCACAGTCAAAGCAACCCCACTCCTTCTAAATTAGTATTTGTCATTGGGGGCAGATGGAACAAAAATAAAGGGAATTATGATTATTATTTTTTTAAAGCCTATCAAGTTTTTCCACCCACCACTATCAAAACCATAGAAAGTCTATGCTTCAGAAGGGTGTTGAGAACCTACTAACAAGGCTGAATGAAGAACTACTGGAATCAGGGGTTTAGCTGGATCTTAATTTAGAAGCTATTGTGACAAAGGCTTTTAAAAAAGATTCAAAGACGAGTAAGCAGGCCCACACAACAGGGCTTCTTGTGTTTATAGTGGTTCAAGTTCCCAGCTTAGATGGGTAGTAAGATAAGAAGCCAAAAAGTAGAAATCATTTCCAACACATCTATGATTCAGCTTACCTCCGATATTCTGAATTATGATGGTGCCTGCCACCCCCACCTACAAAAATAACAAATGAATTCAGAAAATGAAAGAGGAAATAATATAAAAGGATCATTATTTTATTAAAACCCAAGAACTCCTATTAAAAAAAACAGACCCAGAAGTCAGGATTGAGGAGAAATTGGAAAGAATAAAATTTTCCAGCTATAATACATAAATTAATAATCAACACATTAAAAAAGCCTTTCTTTAATAGTTCCACTGTTGCTATAAGGAACATTTTTGAAAGTTTTCTTGGCAGTCATTTTTAAACACTTAAAAGTGTTAAATGGGTAAATTATCAAAGTCCTCCCAAAATGAAACCATTTATTTAGTCTCATTCTCTCTTTGTTGGTTTGACCACACTTCTTTTCTAAGTGTACTGAGATAGTTTGGGGTGTGTTGTTCCAATGCTGTATATTATATAAAAGGAAACTATAAGACCTCCCGAGTATATCAGTTTGGCATAAACCAAGTCTTTAAGCATCCCTATCCCAGGAGTCCTGGTGTGGCAGTATAGGATAAGCACTGAACTACTAACTGCAGAGTTGGCAGTTCAAACCCCCCAGCTGCTCCTTGGAAACCCTATACAGGGTTGCAGTGAGTTGGAATACACTCTACACTTAACAACAACATCATCATCTCAGGGATTAGGAGGAGCCACAGTGGCACAGGGGGTTAAGCATTAGGCTAACTGAAAGATTGAGGGTTCGAATCTACCATCTGCTCCATGGAAGAAAGATGAGGCAGTCTGCTTCCATAAAGATGTGTACTATAGTGCCAGAAACTGGAGAGAAGTTCTAGCTGTCCATCAGCGTCACCATGAGCTGGAATCGACTGGGCGGCAATGAGGTTTGGGAATGGTCCCAAACTTTTTTCAAGGGACTTATAAAACCCAAAGCAGAAAACTTCAGAGCCCAAGCATTCTTGGATCCAGATAAAATGCTTCAAACTCAATAATGTGAAGTAGGTTGAGTATAAGAAAATAGGAGGTAGTGAGGACTATTGGAGAACTCGCCCTTCAAAATGGGGTAGGGGCTGCTCATCTCTGATCAGTGGCTGTCATAATGTGGAGCCAATGCTGCCAGATCTTTGAATTTTTCAAGGAAAATGAAAAACGGAATTCTTCCAAAATTTCATAACCAGTTAAAAATGAAAACGATTTAGCCAAAGAAAATAAGTCTGAGGACTGAGTTCAGCCTGCAGGCTTGTCAGCTTGTGATCTTTGATTAATGAGACTCCTAGGGAAGTCAAGCTCGCACTTGGCCATTCTTGTCATTAGAAGTACTTAGAGGAAATGGTTAAGCATGCAGCTTCCACTTGAGCTTTTCAGTCACTCAAATACTTGAGGATCTAAGCCCTCTCCAGCCCCTATACTTGGCACTGACTTGCTCTGAAGGTCCATTCAAGTAGATGAAAACTGAATGGGAACAGATCGTCCTTCGGGTCCATCTCTACTAAGAATTTGCCCTGTATCAGAGCACCTGCAATCTTGGGAACAATCTAAGCTATTTGGATCTAGATGCCTTGGGGTCTGCAATTCTTGGTCACGAGTCTTTGGATATGTGGTGAATAACATTAACATATTCCAGGAAGAACTCAGCGTGTAAACCCTCTGAAAAATTACCTCCACTATGCCATGGTTACTTACAGGGGAAAAACAACAACAACAAAAAACTGTTTACAGGTAGTCCTCAGATTAAGAAATTCAATTTACTAATATCTAATTTACAGACAACTGGGATTTGCCCTTTAATGTTATGTAAATTTGCCCTTACTTTGAAATGACTGAACCCACTTGCAGTTCAACATATTCTTCATTGTAATCATCATCATTTGCTACACACACAACTTTTTAATCATTGAAAAGGTTTCAAGGCTTTTCTTGCATTAAAGTAAGGCTCAATAAGAACAGTATGTTCCAACTTACCCACAACTTTAAGTTGGACACACTTAGCAGTAGATTTCCTCTGTAACACAGGGACAGCTTGTACTATCTTTCATATGCAATTGTTGTTATTAAATGCTGTGGAGTTGGTTTCCACTCACAGTGATCCTGTATAGGGTTTCCAAGGCACGGCTGGTGAGTTTGAACCACTGACCTTGCGGTTGAAACCTACTTTGTGGTCCAGTGCATTATCCTACAGCACCATACCAGGACTCCATTTATTACTGATAGTAGAGATTTGTGTGTGACGCTGTGGATTAATGCACCAGACTGCAAAGCTGTTTGAACTGCAAGGTTGGCAGTTCAAGCTCACCAGCTGCTCCTTGAAAACCTTATACAGGGTCGCTATGGGTCAGAATCGACTCCACGGCACTTAACAACATTCATATGCAATAGGTTATCTACTATCAGTAATAAATGAAATTTAGATTTCTTTTCTATTAATATATTGCAAAAAGGAATAATAATAACTTAGTGATAATTATCTTTCTAGTATTTGATTGAAATGAAGCATTTAAAATCTATAATCATGATAATGATTGATTGATTCATCTATGGACCTATCAATGTCTTCACTGCCTAGCATAGTGCATGACACATGGCATTTACTCAAATATTTGTTAGGTGAGTAAATAATTTATGTCCTTGTTAAAAAAAAAAAAATCCACAAAAACTTTAGAATACTTCAAAATTATTTCTTGATTCTCAGAACAATGCTATCTATATCATATGCATAGCCACACAACACTAGGAAAAAATAAATCTTCTCAACCCAATTTTGGAAGTGTTTTGATTCAAAACAAAAACAGCAAACTCCTAATTCAGAGTTTGCTCTGTCTAGTGTACTTCCTACTAAGAACTGGGTTGTTGTTGTTGTTGTTATGTGCCGTTGAGTTGGTTCCGACCCATAGCAATCCTGTACAGGGTTTCCGAGGCTGTAAATCTTTACGGGAGCAGAACGCCTCATCTTTCTCCCACGGAGCTGCGAACCTTAAGGTCAGCAGAGCAAAACTACCAGCCGCTCTGCAGGAGAAAGAACTGGGTACATCCATTAAAATGAGAATGCAACTACTCTACAGTTTCCAGAAATTGAGACTTTCAACAATTCAGTCTCTTCTTTTAGGCTTTGTTGTAGTACAAAGAATGCAGTTGAAATAACAAGTGAAGACAGTGATAATAATAATACTTGTTGTCAAGTGTCTTTGAATTGGTTCCAACTCACAGCAAACCTGTATAGGGTTTCTGAGGAGCAGCTGGTGGGTTTGAACTGCCAACCTTGCGATTAATAACTACAGCGCCAAAGACTCATGGTTATAGTTCATATTACAGTAACTGCATAATTTTTTTTATATATATATATCAGTATGTTTTGCTTCTTCCTTGGTCAAATTTGTTGTTGTTGTTGTTAAGTACCGTAGAGTCAGTTCTGACTCATAGTGACCCTGCATAGGGTTTCCGAGGCTACGAATCTTTATGGGAGCAGAAAGTCTTGTCTTTCTCCCGCAGAACAGCTGGTAGTTTCGGACTGCCGACCTTGAGGTTAGCAGCCTAATTCATAACCACTGTGCTACCAGATAAATTAGATGCAGGAAATTGATTACTGATTTGACCAAATATCCTGGTCTTTAAGAAACCAAAACTGTTACCAGCAGTAATTAACAAAATCTTTATCCTCAGATAACATATTCTTTGCTTTGTTCAGATTTCAGGTTACTAAGATCCAAATCATGATCTAAAATAGAAATATTCCCTTTTGTACTTTAAAAATAATATTTATTTGAATGTAAATACAGACTTTTTTTCCCTCATTACCTAGCTATATCTTTTTCCTCCCAAATTAAATTGTTAGGAGTTAGTTTGTTGTTGTTGTTAAGTGCTGTTGAGTCGATTCCGGCCCATAGCGACCCTGTATAAGATTTCCGAGAAGCAGCTGGTGAGCTTGAACCACCGATCTTGCAGTTCAAATGGCTTTGCAGTCTAGCGCATTAATCCACAGCACCATACCAGGACTCTTTTTAACTGTCTATAAATGCAATATCCTTTTAGATTAAAAACAAAACGCAAACAACAGATTTACAAAGAAAAAGAATAAGCCTTGTTTGGAACCAAACTGAACATGGATTTTAAAAGTCCATAACATTTCTTCAGAGATAATTATGCTTTTACCTAACTCTTGGTTGAGTCTGTTGTGATACAGTGAATTTGCTTGATACGCCTCTTATATCCATAGACTCCACATTATTTTCAAGTGCTGTGGAATTGTTTCCAACTTATAGCAACCCAGTACAGGGTTTCTGAGACTTTTTTATACATATATAAAATTTTTTGTGGAAGCAGAAAACCGCTTCTTTTTCTCATGGGGTAGCTGGTGGGTTCAAACTGCTGACCTTGTGGTCCAAAGTCCAGTACTTATCCTATGAAGCCACAGCACTTCCCAAAGTTTTCATTGTTGTTGTTCTTAAGTGCCATTGAGTCATTTCTGACTCATAGTGACCCTGCATAGGGTTTCCAAAAGAGTGGCTGGTGAGTTTGATCCTCAAGCCTTGACGTTCCAACCGACCCTGTGGTCCAGTGCTTATTCTACAGTGCCACACCAGGACGTGTAACTCCCATCGAATGATTGAGTGGGACGATAAAAATCAGGTAAATGGAATTCTAATGTGGGGATTGGCTGGTTTTTTCAAGGTTGATAATAAGCCATCTCAGAAACAAGAATGAAAATTTCATGACCATGCAAAAAGAAGCATCATGAGTGGGGTGCATCTTCAGAACCCTGAGACACCAGTACATAGATACAGTGGCGGCAGCAATGACAGCAGCAGAACTGAAACTATGAACCCACGAGCAGAGTGGTGAGTTTCCTAACACACAAAGCAAGTGAAACTGAGTGCCTTCAGACAGGAGGCAGGCTTGCAGAGTAGAGTGCCCTTGGGGCACATATCAACAGTGCACTGAAGGACTTTTGTGAAACTTGCCCAAGTGAGGCAGATGCCAAGGAACTACATGACTGACTAGCTGAGAATGAGAGGTATGTCTGTGGTATGCCTGAGAAGAGGAATGCCTTACCAGAGAATTGCTATCTCCGGAGTTGTTTCTGATCCTGAATTGTACCCTATTAAATTCTCTAATAAACCCCATAATCATGAGTTCTCTGTGAGTTCTCTGTGGTCACTACAAGGTATCTCAAAGCCAGCAGAGAAGTAGAGTGCCCTGTGCGGGCTGGGTGGTATCAGAATACAGGAAAGAACAGTAGAGGGTGGAGGCATGTCTGACCTCCTAGGAATCCACTTTGGACTGATGTGAACTGTTCCTTTCTTCCCCTAGTGAAGCCAGAGAAGGTCAGACACTATCTCCACACCATTTTTACATAAGCGCATAACAAATATGCCCACAGCAAATAGGAGCCCTGGTATGGCGCTGTAGGATAAGCACTGGATTGCTAACCACAAGGTCAGTGGTTCTAACCCTATTCAGGGCCATTATGAGTCAGAACTGACTCTGTGGCCCTTAACAACAACAATAACACAGCAAATAAGAGTTTAATAAATATTGCTGTTATTTCTCTTATTCTGAGTAGGGAAAAGAACAGATTTAGAGCCTTGAGACCTAGAATCTGGTACTGACTTTATATAACTGAGGACATGAAGGCAAGAAGGAATTTAAGTGTGGAATTAAATTTATTAGTGTCTTTTAATCATTTAATTATTCTGTCATTGTTTTCAGTTTACCTTCCTTTTATTTACATTTATTTGTCTATATGCTGTATCTTTTTACTTGAAACAAGGGAGAAAAAAATGCCTATTTGAGTTTTGGACACAGTGAAGAGGGGGAAAAAAAATTTACCTTTCCAAGTAATCCAAATGCAAAGAGTCCAAGATCTTCGTAAGATGTCACAGCTGTTAAGAGAAATTGATAACTTCACTTCTATGTAAAACTGAGTGCCAAGTATTAAAGGAAAAATTATTCCACTTACTACAAATGTACTCATCATTCTTATGACCCAGGCCAACAAGGACTAGTCACAGCATGAGAAAAGAAAATCATCCCTAATACTCTCCAATAAAGGCAATAATAAGAAAGATTTTACTTAACTGGGTATTTTATAAAAACACCTTTGATAACTTTCTCCATCAAATCTTTTAACTCTGAATGCAAATGATAACACAGAATGACAACCTTTCTTAGACGTTTTGTAGAACACAGTCTTTCATTCTATGTGGTAGGTCTTTTACAGTGATTCTATTTGAGGTAGTTTGCTAACGTAGCTTGTCCCACACATTTGTCAGTTTTTTGTGCTATAGTGGCTTACATGTTGCTGTACACTAGAAGCTATGCTAATAGCTTCAAATATCAGCAGGGTCACCAATGATGAACAGGTTTCAGTGGAGTTTCCAGAATAAAAACAGACTAAGATGAAGGAACAGATGATCCACTTCTGAGGAATTAGACCCTGAAAACCTCATGAATAGCAGGGAATCACTGATATGGTGCTGGAAGATGAGTCCCTCAGGTTAGAAGGCATTCAAAATAAAACGGAGAAGAGGTACCTCCTCAAGGGAGAGCTGACATTAATGATGTGGAAGGAGAACAACTTTGGGACCTTCATTTGCTGCTGGGGCAAGATTCAAAATGACAAGCAGCAGCTGTAAATATTCATTGATAATTGGAAAGTGGAATGTACAAAAAGTACATTGTTATGTGCTGTCACGTTGATTCCAACTCATAGTAACCTGTATAGACTTTCTGAGGAGCAACTGGTGGCATTGAACTGCCGACCTAGTGTTAGCAGTCAAGTGTTTATTGTACAGTGCCACACCAGGATTCTCAGTATGAATCTAGGAAAATTGGAAGTTGTCAAAAATGAAATGGAACACAAAGAAAAATATCCTCAGCATTAGTGAGCTGAAATGGACTGGCATTGGTTATTTTGAATCAGACAATCATATGGTTTACTATGCCTGGAGTGACAAATTGAAAAGAAATGGAGTTGCATTCATCATGGAAAAGAACAGCTGGAGATCTATCTTGAAATATAATGCTGTCTGTGATAGAGTAATATCAATATGCCTACAAGGAAGACCAATTAATAGAACCAGTATTCAAATAGATGCACCAACCACCAAAGCCTATGATGAAGAAATTGAAGAATTCTATCAACTTTTTCACTCTGAAGTCGATCAAACATGCAATCAGGATGCACTGATGACTACTGGTAACTGGAATGTGAAAGTTGGAACCAATCAGTAGTTGGAAAAAGAAGAAGAAGATTGACATGGCTCCTTCAATGGGCTCAAACCTAACAGTTGTGAGGATAGAAGAGGACTAAGCAGTGTTTCGTTCTGTTGTATCTGGGGTCACTATGAGTTGGAACCAACCCAACAGCACCTAACAACAACAACAAAAATAATGTATCTTATATCCTGAAAGATTTTAACTCCTAAATTACAAATACTATTTTCCATTTTATTAATCAAAAGTTCCTGTTAAAGTAATCAGTGTCAACACACAGAATTAAAGTAATGTTACTCACGGGGTACCAACCATCTATCTACCCATCTGACATCTCTTTGTATCTATTTTTAAATTAATCTGTGAGGGCTAATCAGGGATAAATTTGTCATTTTTCTTAGTCATTTGAATTACTTAAACTAGTACAAAATACTTCTATTGTTAATTTTGCAAAATCCCAGTAGTTTGGGTCCTTAGGTTAGGAACAATTGTCTTATGACGATCACTCTTAAATTTAAAGCAGAAGTGGCCACTTTCTAGGGAAACTTGAAGGCTTGTGTTCTATGAGGATAGAGGCTTCGAAGTGGTTCTAATTCTAAGGCTGCCTAAAAACCACAAGATTGCACTGATTTAGATAAAAACAATTGCTCACGAACACCTCCACCCTTCACTAAACAGTACTTGCTTACCACACTGTCCAAATGTAAGTTTTCATTGGCAATGGTTTCTAAAAACTAGACATATAAATAGTTAAAGCTAGATAAAGTTGTATCATAATTTCAGAGAGGTTTATTTTTCCAAGCTATACAGGATGATGATATCACAATAGAAACAACACTTTTACCCATAACTATAGGGCATATATGGGGATCTGGTAGCGTAGTGGTTACGAATCGGGCTGTGAACCGCAAGGTCAGCAGTTCGAAACTACCAGCTGTTCCATGGGAGAAAGAGGAGGCTTTCTGCTCCCGTAAAGATTTACAGCCTCAGAAATCCTGTACAGCGTCACAATGAGTCGGAACCAACTCCATGGCACATCACAACAACAACAAATAGCGCATATACTTTTGTTTCACCATAAAAGAGCATTTGATTTTATTTCAACTCACATATTTAAGAAATCGAATCACAAAAGAGATGAAAATTAAGTGGCTCATAAAAAAGTCCAAATTGAACCTGTAATCTATTCAGCTTCATGTTATAACCAGCAATGCCACTGGTTTAAAAAAAATGTAGTAAACAATGTTTGTACAACAACATAGTTTGAAAAGTGTTTACCCTTATAGTGCATACAATAATAATCTTCTTCTTCTTGCTAAATGCCATCAAGTCGGTTCTGACTCATTGTTGTTGTTGTTAAGGGCCGTCGAGTCGGTTCCAACCCATAGTGACCCTGAACAGGGTTTCCGAGGCTGTAAATCTTTACAGGAGCAGAAAGCCTCATCTTTCTCCTACAGAGCAGCTGGTAGTTTTGAGCTGCTGACCTTGCGGTTCACAGCCCAATTCGTAACCACTACACTACCAGAGCTCATTAGCTACCATACATAGGGTTTCTGAGAAGCAACTAATGGGTTTGAACCCTCAGCCATGTGGTTAGCAGTGTAAAGCTTATCCTACAGCATCACAATAGGACTCCTAATAATATCTTTGGTGTTGTATGCCTTCAAGTTGGTTCCAATGTATAATGACCCTGTATAGGGTTTCCAAGAATGTAGATATATATATATATATTTTAACATAAAGTTAAAGAGCAGTTACAACATTAAGAACTGAATTTTTTTTCCTTCTTGTGAAAAGCCTAAGTTTTTCCTTTTTTATAAGTAAATTTTGTTGTGAATATTTAGTGAGGGTTTACAGAATAGATTCGTTTTCCATTCAACAATTCATATATTTTGTTTCATCTCATTGACTGCAATCCCTATAATGTTGTAACAATAACATTAAGTGCCATCAAGTCAGTTTCAACTCATAGCGACCCTATATAGGGTTTCCAAAAAGTGGCTGGTGAACATGAATCACTGACCTTGCAGTTCAAACCAACTTTACAGTCCAGCACATTAACCAGCAGCACCAAACTAGGACTCCCACCCCCACAATAAAACAGCTAAATTCTTCTACTTTTAAATACATGAATGTAAAGTAACTGCCATATCAGAAATTAATCATTTTAATATATAAATCTTTACTAATTTGTTTTAATATTCCTTAAGTATCATTAAGTGATAATGTTATAAGACTCCTGGCATGGTGCTGTAAGATAAGCACTGTAAATACGCAGTTCAAATCCACTAGACACTCCTCAGAAACTCTATACAGGTTGTTATGAGTTGGCACTGATTTGATGGCACTTATGAACAATAACAATGTCATATAAATGTATAGCACCACTCGTCTGTCAGTTTGTCGTACTGTGGTGACTTGTGTGTTGCTGTGATTCCGGAAGCTATGCCACCGGTATTTTAAATACCAGCAGGGTCACCCATGGTGGACAGGTTTCAGCTGAGCTTACAGACTAAGACAAACTAGGAAGAAGGAGAGACTAGGAAGGAGAGTACTTCTGAATATTTAGTCACTGAAAACCTTATGAATAGGAGTGGAACACTGTCAGACAGCACCAGAATACTGAATACTGAAACATGATGAAGACCACCAGTACCAGAAGATAAACCCTTCAGGTTGGAAGGCACGCAAAATATGCCTGGGGAAGAGCTGCTGCTTCAAAGTAGACTTGAGCATGGAGTAAAGTTTCCAGGACTTCCATTTGCTGATGGGACAGAACTCAAAATGAGGAGAAACAGCTGTAAACATCCATTAGTAATTGGAACATGGACTGTATGAAATATAAAACTAGGAATATTGGAAGTTGTCAATAATGAAATAGAATGCATAAACATCGATATCCTAGGCAGTAGGTGAGCTGAAATGGACTGGTATTGACCATTTTGAAACTGACAATCACATGGTTTACTATGCCAGGAGTGACAAACTGAAGAAGAATAACACTGCATTCATTATCAAAAAGAACATTTAAAAATCTATCCTGAAGTACAATGCTGTCTGTCGAGATCACATGATACAATTTTTTTTTCTTAAATATTTATTGTGAATTATGTGATAGTTTACATGGGAGAACATTAGTTTTACATTCATTCTATCATATATCATCTCATTGCCATGGTTACAATCCCTTCCATGCATCATCAACCAACCAAAGGGTATACAGTCGCTCTCCCTCTCTGGATCTAAAGTCCCCAGCTGCTCCATCGCTCCACATCATCGTCTCTGCCTTCATCTCAGGGATCACTGATTCTCTGGGTAGGGTCCTGCTCTCCACTCTTCTCCCTTCATGGTCCCAGGGACCTCAGCTTCTAGACTGGATAGTTAATCACTCCCCTCCTTGCTGTAAAATGTCTACCTTTACATTTTCAACCCTCACAATCAGTCCTGATAACAATTATTCACTATTGTATGACAAGAGATCCATCTGCATTTCATTTCATCAGCCCCGCCTAGACAGATTAGATACTACTCACTGGAGATTCTACCTTCCTCCAGGCCCTCTGGATCTAGGTTCCCTCTTGAAAGCTTGTAAGCCAGGCACTTCTTAGCTTCCTGCCCCCCCATTTTGGGTAGTCAATGTCCAAGTTGTCCATCCCTGTCTATTCTG